GGCACGGAGGCAGCAGCAGGGCGTGGGGTGAAGAGGAAGAGATGCAGCGTCACGGTGGCAAGCAGGGAGCTGGCCAAGTGCCGGGAGCGTGCCAACGAGCAGCGGGTGCTGGAGCTGACCGCCCACAACGAGCAGCTCCGCAGAGAGATCCAGCGGCTCAGCACAGAGGTGGAGCGCACGCGGACGGCCCTCATCGACCGCATTGTGAACCTCCGCCGCGTTTAAGCGCCGCAGCCGCCCTGCAGCCGGTGGGGCGAGACTCTGCTGCCCCTGCGGACCTGGGGGGGCAGCCCTGAACTGGAGGGACACTGCCCCACTGGCACAGACTGATGCTGTGGGGAGGGCACTGCTTCTGTGCATGATTGTGTAGTCTTTGTGTTTTATTACATGCGTGTACCCACCCATACAGCCTGGTCGAGTCGCTGGGTGGCACTGGGACCGCTCCCCAGCACAGCAGGGCAAGGTGTTACTTTTTCTGCTTTCCCTTGGGCACAAGGACTTCAGGACTTCTGCCCTCTGCTAGTGCCAGCTGCTTCTTCAGCTCCAGCAGCTTGGCCACCTCCACAGCAACCTGGGCCTTCTCTGCCTTGTTGGCCTTCAGCTGCCGAATGTGGTTGCCCTGGGGCCGGTGCAGGAGGCTGATGAGGTCTTGCGGGGGGGGACGGGGGGGCAGGCCCTAAAGGCAAGACAGGGCCAGGCAGCCCCCACACCCACCACTCACCTGTTTGGCCACCTCCTCTGTCAGCTGCATGACCAGCTGGGGGTCACCTGGGGCTGGAGGGGGGGCTGAGGCTGGAGGAGTTGGTTTGGCCTGCGGAAGGACAGAAAAGTGGTCTGAGCCCTGATCCCAGCCCTCGGGGTCAGAGCTCTGCACCCACCCACCCTCCTAACCCCTGAGGCAGTGCCTAGGAGGTACCTGGGGCTCTACAGTAAGATCTTCAGGCTGGGAAAGGAGAGACAGCAAGTGAGGAGGAACAAGCTGGAGAGACTGGGAGATGCT